AAAAAAAATTCAAGTGAAAATGCTATTTGAAAATTAGAGTTGTGTTTGGACATGAATATAATTTTGGGTTGTTTTTTAAGTTTTGTGAGTGATCTAAGTGAAAATTTTGTAAAACAGCTTTTTGGAGTTTTTCAAATTTTCGAGAAATTCCAAAATTCATCTTCAAGTGAAAATTGGAAATTTTATGGCCAGACACTTATTTTGGAAAAAAGTGAAAAATCTTATGTCCAAACGGGCTCTAAATCTCTCAGCATGAGCCCATTTGAATATTACTCAGATTAGCCAACAAAATGAATCAGAACCATCTGAAGTCAGACGCGAGGTCAGAATTACATGTTTAATTATTTGCTATTTTACATTTTGCAGTACAAGTTCTTCAAAACAAGCCACCCTTTGACAGCCCACTCGCGAATTGAAGGCATAATTACCACTGAACTACATCTGTTTCCCCTTTCAATCAAAAAGTATATTTATGTACTACATTGAAATTACATTTGAACTGGTAAAGCTTAGTTGATTTATGTAGTACTCAGACTTGCAAATGCACACAACAAAGTACAAGCAGAACCTCTCTTTCCACAGCCCCCATTTCATCCAGAAAAAAGGAGGGAAAAAATAAACCAACAAGGAATTGAAAATATGACCAACAAATTTACATAACTGAACACACAAAAAGATAATTAACTCCTGTTAAATATCTGAAATTACGGTATAGAACATACCAGTAGTCCATCACCATTTGCTTTAGCCTAGTCTCCAGCTTGAAAAACAGAGATGATCTTTCAAAATCTTGCTTGTCATGTGCAGGTTCTATGAAATTTGCTTCCAGAACACCTGAGTCAAGGGCAATTGAGTACATCATCGTCGTAATGGGTAGAGTGAGTCTGAATAGAACTTAAAATACATACCAACAACACCATTTCCTTTGGAAGAACCATCTGCAGTAACTTTCCAGAATGGCTAAGAAAACCCAGAAGAACATAATCAGCAATAGGCAATTTCAAGTTTAACTTAGAAAAGTTATCTATTAAAGTAATCACAAGTCCAGCAAAATTCATTTCAGACCAACTGCAAAGCTTGGATGCCCCTACATGCCCGCATAAATCCCAACATTTATTCATGAATTTCAAGGTCAACTCAAATGTTTGTCCTCTTTATTTTTCTCTCTTTTCCCATTGGGAGGGGGAAGGGGTTAAACTGAGGCCAAAGCAGATAAAGTTTTTGTTAACAGCTTCAGCTAAGAAAAAGAAAATCTTGTTTTGTTAAACTCTTCAGCTAAGAAAAAAAGAGATTTTGCATATAATGGTAATCAAAATGCTTTGAAAATACTCTGGTGAGGCGATTGCAAAAAAATAAATAAATAAATAAATAAATATTGCAACAAAAAAACTGCTCTAGAAGAGGCATATTTCTCCAAACACAACATCGCATACCCTGATGAGGCGATTTTTGTGGTAAATGTTGAATCCACAAACTGGTGATGGAGCGTCCTTGACGAAACCTAAAGTTGTTTCAACCAAGATCTGCAGCAGAAAAGTTGTTTGAATCCACATATTTAGATGATGGTCAAATATTACCACAAGCTTCGCAACGGACTTGCAATTAGTGAATACCCACACTCAGAAAATCATATGTGAGGAGAAACTCATATAATATTACAACTGCTATTTATTCTCATTGTGAATATTCAACACAATAGAACAGTTTACAATCTAAAGTTGGACTTTTCTAATCTAATTTGAACATGCAGCCCCCTAAGCAGGGAAATCAAGAACCCTTATCATACCGTACCTCCTTTGATGTCACAGCAAGCTGTGGCCTGTAGGTGATTACTTTTGAGTGCTTCAACTCCTCAAGAATATTAAACTGCTCAACAGGCTTCCCTCTTAGTACGATACTGAAATTTGTAAATTTTTTGAGGTATAATATGGATGTGTATGCCTGACAAGAGATACACAGAGGCATTAAGATACATTAGCAAAATATTCAGCAGGGATGTTTGCAGGAATTAAGCAAATTTAAGTGGTTACTCTTAGTGAGTAGCGTAAGCGATAGGAAATATGGGATTGCTGTTCAAGCGCTCTCTTGTTTGTTTTTGATGTATTTCCACAATTAGCTTCATCTCTCAACATTATATCCTGCGTGACCAACAAAAAAAAGAATACGACATCCTTTAAATAGCAAGAGGAGGATGAGGGCGAAAAGCAGAAAATCTTCAAAGAACAGCAGCGGCATGACCCGTGAGTCCAAAAGTATAATACAACAACAATCATTGTTATAAGACACATACTAAGAGTAATCAGAGGAGTTATAATCATTACGGTTAGATGAATGAAATAAAGTTCTAGCTTAATGGAGATGATGTTTAGCTGCTTATTGTATGAAGAGAATTATGAGTTTCCTCCATAACAAGAGAATTAGACATAGACGGAATCGTCAAAACCATTTATTTATCAAGACCTTCTTTCTCCTTTTTCTTCCTATGTTGGGATTAAGGCAAGTCATAGACACACTTACATAAGGACGTGCATGCTTCACAGGAATCTCTAGAGCCCGCCAAGAGATTCTACAATATTGTAAGGATAGGTGAGAAATTTGGAGAATACCTAGTTTCAGAGAATCCCTGGTTTGTCCTAAAAGACAAATTACTAAGTACTGGAATGAAACGGGCCCAACTGGATCACAATGTATTTAGAAGATTCATGAAACTGGCCCAACCTAGTTTCAGGTTGAGACGTAGTTGTTAACAAGAGCCACTCCATGAAACTGGCCTCTCATTGAGGCTTATAACAAACTAAATCAACTACTAGTGTGCTCAACATTACAATGCGCTCAAAATTTACTGGTCATGTACGAAATCTAAAATGTGCAATACATTGCCACGCCTAAAGGTTGTGTAGAACATCCTCGTAAGAAACTCAATGAGGATGCCTTATATGAAAGCCAGGCTCTACCCTTTACAACAACAACAACAAACCCAGTATAGTCCCACAAGTGAGGTCTAGGGAGGGTAGTGACCTTACCCCTACCCGGAAGGTAGAGAGGTTGTTTCGATAGACATTATGCTCAAGGAGTGAGAAGAAAGCAATAGTAACAACAATAAGATAATAAGAAAACGAAGTGAAAGGAACAGCACGTAGTAATAGAAATCTAGTAATAACAGAATACAAGACTAACACTAATACTACTAGTATGGGAAGGAAACTCTCTCGACTACCTACTAACCTTCTGCCTTAATTCTCGACCTCCACACCTTCTTGTCAATGGTCATGTCCTCGGTAAACTGAAGCAATACCATATCCTGCTAATCACCTCTCCCAATACTTCTTAGGCCTACCTCTACCTCTACCTCTTCTCAGACCAGCCAAGGCCAACCTCTCTCGCCTCCTTACTGGGGCATTTGTGATTCTCCTCTTCACATGCCCAAACCATCTAAGCGTCGCTTCGTGCATCTTGTCATGCACCTGGGGCACTCCCACCCTGGCCCGAATGAGGCTCTACCATTTGAAAGAAAAAAAAAAAGACACAAGTTTAAAAGATTTTGAAAGAGTAGAAAAGCTCTACCCATAACAACCAATAGGACCTAGTCTGAAAACTTGATATTACAAGTTCAACAAAATAGCATGACAGTGAAAGAGCTTATGTTCAATTGGGGTGGCATAAGGTGGAAGAAAAGACGCCGGGCTAGGGAGTACGGATGTTCCTCCTTTAGCACTTATGCGGATCGTCTGGAGATAAAGAAATAGGAGAGCTTTTGAAAGTGTTGAGATGCATTTTGTACATCTGAAGAATAGCCTCTTGTCCCCTATTTCTTCATGGTACACCCATGAGGTTCCTTTATGTATGGAAGATTGGGTGTCGTCCGTATAAAATCATTTTTTTTTTTTGGTTTTTTTTACTTTTTGGTATACTTCTTGTATACAGGCATTTTCTAGCCATATTTATTACTAATAGAATTATTACTTGATCAAAACGAACAAAATCAAACATAATTTCTCATGGAACGCTTCAAAAATAAATTCAACCATCATGTATTGGGATATAACTCTTAGACCTAAACAATGATCAGTTAATATTAGGGAATTGGGATTTAAAGAAGCAGTCTATTGAGTTGGCAAAGATTCTCCAGAAGAGAAAGGTTAATATAGCGTGTGTCCAGGAAACTAGGTGGGCAGGGTCGAAGGCGAGGAATGCGGACGGGTATAAGTTGTGGTACTCTGGAGTCGTGAGGGGTAAGAATGGAGTGGGTATCTTGGTGGATAGGGATCTTAGAGTGTCTGTGGTTGAGGTTAGGCGAGTGAATGAAAGGCTAATGTTTATTAAGTTGGTGATTGGTGAGTGCACCCTCACTGTAGTTAGCGCGTATGCGCCGCAAGCGGGCTTGGATGAGGAGGTTAAGAGGCGCTTTTGGGAGGGTTTGGATGAGATTGTGCGTAGTATTCCACCTACTGAAAGGTTATTTATTGGAGGGGATTTTAATGGCCATATTGGGTCGACTGCTGGTAGTTATGGCGAGGTGCATGGTGGCTTTGGCCCTGGGGATAGGAACGGAGGAGGCACTTCGCTGTTAGACTTCGCTAAAGCTTTCGAGCTGGTGATTGCGAACTCGACTTTTCCGAAGAGGGAGGAGCATCTGGTTACTTTCCAAAGTTCGGCGGTGAAGACTCAGATTGATTACCTTCTCCTCAGAAGGTATGATAGAGGGTTGTGCAAGGATTGCAAGGTTATCCCGGGAGAGACCCTCGCGACTCAGCATAGGCTCTTAGTGATGGACATGTGCATTAGGATGAAGAGGAAAACGAGGAATGCTCGTGGACGATCAAGGATTAGATGGGGAGCTTTAACCAAGGATAAAGCTCACGAGTTGGAGGGGAGGTTATCCGCTATGGGAGCTTGGAGGAGTAGTGGAGACGCGAGCACTATGTGGTCAATGACGCCGAGCTGTGTGAGGAAGGCGGCGAGGGAGGTGCAAGGTATATCAAAGGGTTTTTCTAGCAGGCACCAAGGCGACTGGTGGTGGAATGACGTAGTCCAAGGTAAAGTGGAGGCGAAGAAGGTAGCGTACGCGAAGTTGGCAGGGAGCACTAGCGAAGAGGAGAGGAGAGCGAATAGAGAGAGGTACAAAGTGGCTAGGAAGGAGGCAAAGCTGGCGGTCACGGAGACTAAGAATGCAGCGTTTAGCCGTCTATACGAGGAATTGGGGGAGAAAGGCGGGGACAGGAAGCTGTTTCGGCTAGCTAAAGCGAGGGAGAGGAAGGCCCGGGATCTGCACCAAGTAAGGTGCATCAAAGACGAGGATGGTAGAGTATTGACGGGGGAGTCCCAGATTAAGCAGAGATGGCAGACGTACTTCTACGGTCTTCTAAACGAGGAGGGGGACCGGGATATAGTGCTAGGGGACTTGGGGCATTCGGAGAGTTTTCGAGATTTTAAGTATTGCAGGCGCATCAAGGTGGAGGAGGTCGTGGGGCTTTGCGTAAGATGAGTAGGGGTAGAGCGACCGGGCCAGATGAAACCCCGGTGGAGTTTCGGAAGTGTGTGGGTAGAGCAGGATTGGAATGGCTGACTGGGTTGTTCAATGTAATTTTTAGGACGAAGAGGATGCCAGATGAGTGGAGGTCGAGTACAGTGGTACCGTTGTACAAGAACAAAGGTGATATCCAGTGTTGTAACAATTATAGGGGTATCAAGTTACTTAGCCATACCATGAAAGTCTGGGAAAGGGTGGTGGAGGTGAGGGTGAGGAAGACGACGTCTGTTTCCGACAATCAGTTTGGGATCATGCCGGGTCGCTCCACTACGGAAGCTATCCACCTTATTAGGAGGTGGGTGGAACAGTACAGGGATAAGAAGAAGGATCTGCACATGGTGTTTATTGACTTGGAGAAAGCGTACGACAAGGTTCCTAGGGAGGTGCTCTGGAGATGTCTTGAGGTGAAGGGCGTGCCGGTAGCCTACATAAGAGCAATCAAGGACATGTATGATGGAGCTAAGACTAAGGTTAGGACTGTGGGAGACGACTCGGAGCATTTTCCGGTTGTTATGGGATTACACCAAGGCTCTGCGCTTAGCCCGTTCCTATTCGCCTTGGTGATGGATGCATTGACACACCATATTCAAGGGGATGTGCCATGGTATATGTTATTTGCTGATGACATAGTTCTAATTGATGAGACGAGGGCCGGTGTTAAAGAGAGATTGGAGGTTTGGAGACAGTACCTGGAGTGCAAGTTTAGCACTGAGTCGAGGGAAGTAGGCAGGGACGTGAGACTTGGACCACAGGTCATCCCGAAGAGAGATATCTTCAAGTACCTTGGGTCGATGATTCAGGGGGACGGAGAGATCGACGAGGATGTCACTCACCGTATAGGGGCGGGATGGATGAAATGGAGGCTTGCATCTGGAGTTCTGTGTGACAAGAAAGTGCCACTGCCACTCAAAGGTAAGTTCTATAGAGCTGTGGTTAGACCGGCCATGTTGTATGGGGCAGAGTGTTGGCCGGTTAAGAACTCCCATATCCAGAGGATGAAGGTAGCAGAAATGAGGATGCTGAGGTGGATGTGCGGGCACACTAGGATAGACAAGATTAGGAATGAAAATATTCGGAAGAAGGTGGGTGTGGCCCCTGTGGATGACAAGATGCGGGAAGCAAGGCTCAGATGGTTTGGGCACGTGCAGAGGAGAAGCCTTGATGCGCCGGTAAGGAGGTGTGAGCGGTTGGCCGTGGTGGGTACGAGAAGAGGTAGAGGGAGGCCTAAGAGGTATTGGGGGGAGGTGATCAGGCAGGACATGGTACGACTGCGGATTTCCGAGGACATGGCCCTTGATAGGAAGGTTTGGAGGTCAAGCATTAGGGTTGTATGTTAGGGGGTAGTAGAACTTTCCTTACTTCATTCCGGGGGTGAGGCGGGGTTGGATTAGGGTTGATCTTAGATAGCTGGCAGTTTATGCTGAATACACTCTGTACTTGCTGTTTATCTTAGCCCTGGGCCTTAGATACTGGTTACTGTTATTGCATGTCTTTCATCTTTTGGTTGTTATGCTTTCGTTATTATTACGGTTTATACTGGAGTTACTAATGAGTTGTCTTTTCTTGTTTTCTTGCTTTTTATTTCCGTTTTTCTGAGCCGAGGGTCTATCGGAAACAGCCTCTCTGCCCTATCGGGTAGGGGTAAGGTCTGCGTACACATTACCCTCCCCAGACCCCACCTGGTGGGATTTTACTGGGTAGTTGTTGTTGTTGTTGTTGTTGGATTTAAAGAAGCACAATAAGCATTTTGCTAACATGGCTCCAGCAGTTCGGCAAGGATTTGAGATGTATGGATAGACATACAACATCAAAGGTGGGGAACCAATTATTCACCAAAGCTATCAAACATTGTCAGCGATTGGTTTTTGGAAATGGTGAACATGTTGATTTCTGAGTCTAATAACATTTTTTTATAAGGTAAAGATTTTATTAATAAAAGTACCAAGATGGTACATAAGACTACACCAAGATCAGCCAACACCTATAACAACATACTTCCAGTTACAAATTAGTTAGCACATCCAGAAACTCCATATACTGACCTAAGCTTTCAACTAAACATTTCTTACACCAAAGAAATAAATTTGGAAGACAAGTATTTTTTATTCTAGCAATGTGAGTCCTCTTGTCCTCAAAGCAAACATTGTTCCTTTCTTCCCAGATGGTCCAAAAAATGCATAGGGGGATGTTTCTAATAACATAATTTTCACAACGTCGTCAATCGAAAGACAGGACATTTATGGATTGCTGGAAGATCAACCCCAAGTAAAGAAGCTTCCATAAACTTAAGAGTTTCTGGAGAAAAAGGAATTTGTGGGTTGCCAATCAATATGAAGCTTGACCGCAGCAGAAAAAAAGCTCTAAAAGAACTCCATCTTTACAAGGTTCAAATAAAATTTTAAATGTTCAAATATAATTATCTTTAGAAGATTTCTTTGACACTCATATCTCCAAACAACCAATAGAGTTTTTTTTTTTGGGTTCTCTTTTCCTTCTTTTTTAATGAATAAGGACCAAAACAGAGTTGTCTCTCTACTACAGAACAAACTTTTTATTGGGACAATAGAAAGTTCAAGGTCGTGGACACCTATATGGAAATGAAAGCCAAAATAGTCCATGAAAATCAACTCTAAAAATACGCAGTTTTTGCAGGTTTAGAGAATGCAATCACAAGGCTGTGCAAGTGTAACATTCTCTAACTCCCTCCGAATGTGTAACCCAATTCTGGGGTTTACACGTGGATTTGAACCTTTTTTAAGAAACAGAGAGAGAGAGAGAGAGAGAGAGAGGAGGCTCGATCTTGGAGTAAAAAGGGAGACATATTAGGCTCAACAGATTAATGAGTCGGCCTGGAGCAATGTTAGTTTGCTCGATCAGTTGAATATAGAGAGAGAAAGCGAAGCCCAGAGCAGCTCCATGGATTGAGTTGAAAGAGAAGCTCAAAGAGATAGAGCATGAAAAGAAAAGGCTGTTGTGAGAATTATGAATTCACCGAAGTTTGGATCTGATACCATGTGAAAGAATCTAAGCACCCAACAGAAAATCTTAAGACAATAGGTGGAGTAGTCCAGAACTATTATTAACCCCTGACAGGCGTAGCACTCGCTAACACTGCTGGACATCACAAAAATGGTTATAGCCATGTATAAACTATCTGCCCTTATTCTTTTTAACATGTTTACAAAGAGTAAATCCAAAAGCTCTGACCTTCACAGCAAACCAAAAGTTCTAAGTACTAATTTGTAGTGGTCGACAATTCAGTCTTAGGTGAAAGGCGCAATAGAATCCTTTGACCTTTATTAGCTAGCATGCCAAGATATCCAAGCTCAGACTGGAGAGAGCTGAGCCAAATGTTTTCAGGAAATAGACATACCTCATCATCGTCATCAAAGTTCAGCTCATAAATTCCTTCATCATTCAGCCATAGGTTGTAGACTATAATCTTAGTTCCATGTGATTTTATATCCTCAAACTGGAGAACATACACGAGAAAGACAAAACATTCAGTAATAACAAATAAAAGTAATTATTGTAACAATAATTGCAGGTGGTTAGCAAAATCATGTAGATACAGTTGCTATAGTTGCATATATAGAGTTATATGCTATGTACTCAAGCAAGAGTGGACATGGTGTCAAATCACCCCAAATCTTTGCTGTAATTTCACTAAGGGCCTGTTTGGAAAGCCACCTTGGAATTGGATTTGAGCATAACTCGATGCAATTACACAGTTTTGGTGTGTTTGTCTCGCCAAGCAAATTACTTGGTCAACATGGAATTGGGTGTAGAAGATGACTTTTCAATTCTATATTATTTTTCTTTTCCAAATATATTACTCTTTTTACACTCTTTTTCTTCCATTTCTTTTCTTCAACAGATATGAATGCTAGATCAATTAGATAAAATTGCTTATAAATTTTTGCTATGAGAATTCTTTTATGAGGAACACATGTTGAAAATAATTTCTTGCTTTACTAGCTTTGTTTTCTATTCATTAGCATAAATAATTTATTACTACTAAAAAAAGAACTTTCTAAACTCATGTCTATTTTTTGTTATTTAAAGATGCAACAAATAATGAATTTCATATCCTCTTCACATGATATAATTTAAATTCATAGTTGATGATATAACTTTATAGAGAATGTATTTTAAATACCCATTAATAAAGTACTTCCTCTGTCTCAATTTACGTGGCGGTCTTTGACTGTGCATGGAGTTTAAGAAAGAAAGGAAATTTTTTAAACTTGTGGTCTAAAACAAACCATAGATATTCGTGTGGCTGTAAATCAATTCATTAAGGGTAAAGTCAGAATTCTAAAAATAAATTATTTCTAAATAATGAAATGTGACATTCTTTTTTAGACCGACTAAAAAGGAAAGAATGCTACATAAATTGGCACGAAGGGAGTAATATTTAATATTTCTAATATTCAAATATATAGTAGTCACACATTAAAGTTAATTTATTTGTCCATCTGAAGCAAAGTTGATTTAATTTTTGATAATCACTTCTATTTTAAAAATTCAGAATATTTAGCTACGTAATTACACAATATAACCATGATGCTGAAACTTACACTGTAATTACATTACGTTATGGCAAACAAACATGTCTTTGTAATTACTAGGCTACGTAATTGCACAGCCTAGCAATTACACAGCGTCCAAACACACCCTGAATAATTTCCTGACAGATCTATGATTTTACAAATAGACAAAAGCAAGGAGCAACAATCAAATAAAAAAATGGGAAAGAGAAAATGTCCCCACCGCCCATCCCCCCC